ACATCATCACTTTGAGGTACGATATCTATATCAGTAAGATCGATTCCATGCGATATAATTATATAATTATATCTAGCGTATGATTTAAACGATGAGTGGGCCCGGTGATGTTTTGCTTGACTCCAAAAGAGTTTATTAGGTCAGTAAACGCAAGTCCTAATGCATCATTTGTATTATCAATGTGAATGATGAAATCTCTGACAATTAGCACTTTATCAACAGTAACCAATAGGTCTGAGAGGAAATCTGCAAATTCTTTTAGTAAATCTGTATACGGCCCTGGTGGTCTATAGACAGTAGCCAGAGCAAGAGATACGATAGATTTCTTTTACATATCTGACAGTGTAACATTAAGCAGAAGTATTTCGAATGAGTTAAACCTGTATCCTGTTTTCTGAGTAACATTGAGAATATCACTATATATTGTTGCAAAACCGCCACCACGACCAGTCTGACGGGGCTCATGCTTATGCTCATGCTTAGCTTGGTGGAGTAGACTCATTTAGACCAATATAATCATTTGGTTTTAGCCAGGTTTCAGTCAAGCAGAGTACATCAAAACTATTATCTGTGATAATTTCATTTACAATAACAGCGGGTAGAACAAAAGCCATCATAGCAGTTATTTGAGAATTTACTTACTAGTCATATGGAGCATAGCATCCTGGAGATGTTGTCCTGCAATGGACTCTGCAAATGGCTCTGCAATGGCAGGAATAGAATGTAGTGGAGCTGCAGGAATAGACTGGTTAGGTTTTTCTGTCACCTGACAAACATGACATGATCTGCAATATTGAGCTACATCTGACCTCACCCCAGGCCCAGGGTTTTCCTAATACCCAAGTGGCCAGACAAACAATGATCAAGATATAAAATATTAGATCGATAAACTTCTGGTACCACTACTTGAAACACACTACTCCAGTCATCCTGACTTGACCATTTTGGATCAGTCCATTTTCTCATCAAAACATTGTCACTACCAATATAATTGTTTGAAGATGTAGTGTCAGTTGTTCAGTGCAAAACAGCTTCGCCAGGCCAAAGAGGACACCTACAGGAGTGGGGACTGTGGAGTATCAACTTTTAGCCAACAATTTGAATGAGTTTTACTGCAGGTTTGAAAAGCCTGGTCTCACACCCCACACCTCTCTGACCGTCTCACAACACAGCCATCAACACCCTCCCCCTCCCTCCTCCCTGCTGCCTCTCAGCCTGCACTTAAGATCTGTGAAGATGATGTATGCAAAGTCTTCAGGAAACAGAAGATAAGAAAAGCCAAAGGCCCAGACGGTGTCTCTCCAGCCTGCCTCAAAACCTGTGCTGTCCAACTGTCAACCATCTTCCACAGATCACTGGAGCTATGTGTCATCTGGACAATCCAGGGACTTATGCAAGGATCCTGTTTGTGGACTTCAGCTCTGTTTTTAACACCAGTATCCCGGCTACCCTCCTGATTAAACTGACACAGCTCTCTGTTCCCACCTCCATCTGTCAGTGGATCATCAGCTTCCTGACAGAGAAGCAGCTAGTGAGGCTGGGAAGACTCACATCCAACAACCGCACCATCAGCACTGGAGCGCCTCAGGGGTGTGTGCTCTCCCCACTGCTCTTCTCCCTCTACACCAGGAGGTGGGAACCTTTTTTCACCAAAGAGCCATTTTTTAATTTTTTGGAGAATGCATTTTTTCAAAAGAGCCATTGAAAAAACAATATATTAGTACTATAAAAAAACAGGTTTTCAATAACATTCAAATAACAAAACTTTAAATTTTGTCCATGTACAACTCAAAAATAAACAAATATGAAGCATCACATGTTGAGTAAGTGCATGAATAAAGAGCAAAGCACATTTTAAAATTCTGGTTAATACAGTTTTATTTTTTCAAAAATGCAATTTAAAAGAAACTAATATTTTACTATTATAAAAAAAAATAACATTTACTTCTTTAGGCCGGGTGTCCACCAAAGCGCTTTTTTCCAGAGTGTATTTTTTCAATAGTTTTCAATGGGAGCGCCACTTCTTTTAAAATGCCAGGAGCGTGCTGAGCGCTGAGCATCTTTTTCACGCTAAGCTTTTTCTCCGCGCAGAGAGTATGTTCAACTTTGGGCAAAATGCGACACTCATCACTGTCACTTTTTAGTCAGCTGACCAATCACAGTGGAGGAGGGGTGGGACTAATACCGATCAACCATCACACCCTGCTTGTACTACGAATGAACTGAACAACAATGGAGAAGTTAATATTGCTTGTCTCAGAGTATTTATGTCTTTACCAGATGGAATTGCGGACTACCATATTATTGTTATGAAAAATAAGGCTTGGAGAAACATTTCATTAGCGATGCATCTGCCATATTAATTCTGCGGATATTCCGTATCATAGCAAGCACAGCATCTCAACTGAAAAAAATGCACTCTCAAGCGCTGGCCGTTTTCAGCAGAGCGCTTTTGGTGGACACGTGGCCTTGAACACAGCACCGCATACACTGCGCATACGTGCTTCGGTCGGAACACGTAATATTATTGTAAACTGATTTTCATTCATTTTGATTCGCTATACAACAAAGAATTGTAATTGTATGTTCTGCAGGGAACTGATTTTTAGTGACGTTATATTTCATAACTGTAATATGCTAGTGAAGGGAGACAGCTGGCAAGTCATTTCTGTCAAAGAGCCACGAGTGGTTCACGAACCATAGGTTCCCGACCACTGCTTTAAGGCCCCGATATTCTTCAAGCAAAATCGAAGAATGAACTAATGTGACGTAATTTCGAACAAAATCCGGCCCAAACTAAGTTCGTTTAGTGAGTTCGAAACAGCTTGCCAAAGCGAACTTTTCGGAAAACTTTGTTCTGGCTGCAAAACACCTTCGTACTACCATTGGTCTGTGACGATTACATCACAGGAGGTGTGCACTGAGGCTCCGCCTTCTTTCACTCGGAACTCTTATCTGGGTTCATTTAATTTGTCGAGTCCTTGGAGGTGAGATGCCCGCGAAGTGGAGAGCCGCTTTATAGTAGCAAATTAAGTTTAGCTTTTTTTGAAATGACAGACTGATACTGTTTTTCATGTTTAATACTGCTACTTGCTTTTAAGCAATATATTGAATAAAGTGCCATGTAAATACACATGACGTGACTTCACAGGAGTGCTAATTTGAAGAGCTTGTGCAAGCATACCCATGATGCTATGAACACATGCTTATTTTGTATAAAAATGCTTGCTGTTCTCTCCATTTTTGTTGTGCAGGGGTGATTCTAGGATTTTCAATGAGTGTATAATAATAATAATAATAATAATAAATAGTACATATACAATTTTTAAAAAGTTTGACTAATAGGGTAGGGTGGTAACCTCTTACTATGCTCAAGTACTGTCTTTCACTGTCTTTAATCATTTCTGTGCATGACTGTATGGGATTTAATGCCACATGCACTGTAATATGTTTTATATTGAAAGTTACATTTTCAAATAAAACTTGCAACATGATCGTTTTATAAAGTATGCATTCATATGCGTTAAGGGCTGCCTACATTTTCGCTGGAGGAAACAGAGGTGTGGTGTGATGAGGGGTGAACGGAGCGAAAACTTTACAGTAGATGGGAAACCGAATTTGCTCCCCATGACATTTTGTAAACTTTTTGTTTTTTGACATTTTGTATTTATGACAAAGAACTGCACAGATGCAGATATTATAACAATCTATCGATAAACACACACCTTGTCCTCTGTTTCTCGCTCTGCGCTTCCACAATCTGCGGATTGAAGAACGCGTTGAAAGACGGGGATGAGCTGGATCCTTCTAATTATTAAAGGGGTCATATGATGCTATTTTAAAGATCATTATTTTGTGTATTTGGTGTAACAGAATATGTTGACATGTTTTAATGTTCAAAAAACATATTATTTTTCAAATACTGTACATTATTGTAGTTCCTCTATGCCCCGCCTCTATCAAACGTGTCGTTTTCTACAACGCCCTTCCTTCCGACAAGCACAGTCTGCTCTGATTGGCCAGCTGACCCAGTGCATTGTGATTTGCCGAACACCACAAGCACGCGTCGGAAATGTAATGCCCCTTTCCATAATCGCGAGCTTCATAAATGTAAAGACAGTTAATAATGTTATTAGTTTTACCATCAGTTCAAGCCTGAAAGGGCAACAGAGTCGCGTGATGATGCTTGTATGTATTTGCAGTACACAAGCCGTGATTAAGAAAGTTGACTCCACTGTGATCACGCACACACACACACACACACACACACACACACACACACACAAAGCGATACACTACACGGCGCCAAAAATCCGCATTTGAACAGTCAATAGCAAATACTTAAACTATTAAGAAAACATACTTACAGTAGCTGATTCAGAATAAGCGCCAGATTGTCATAGCAAAGTTGGAATTGACCCATTTTTTTTAAATAGCCTTTGCACAGCCAGCCTTGTACTCTCCTAGGTTCACAAAACTGTCGTCCATAAAATGCCTTGCACAAATTCGAACATTTGGGTTGTGATGTTCTGTTGTAAATAAATCTTAACCAATGATTCCTCATTGCATCTACTTTCGGAAGGCCAAATAAAGTGCTTTTGCTTTCGCCTAGAAACACACAGCTTCTCCCTGACATGGCTGCTTCAACACCATCAACACTTCCTGAAACCACGCCTTCTTTCTTTGCATGAGCATTTGGGCGGCATTACGCAAATATTTCCACATCCTGACATCCTGACATAGGGGCGTGTTTGAAAGAGGCGTTTTAGCCCGGTCTGGATAAGCCATCTCTTTTAGATAGAATAAATCCTTTTGTGGGAGACTTTGAGCTTTGTAACTCTGTAGATCTTATACATGCACAAATAGCTACATAACACACTAAGAAAAGGAAAAATAGAAATCGCATCATATGACCCATTTAAATTAAATAAATAACTATTGGTTGATTGCTTAATTGATGCGAGGACAACGTTTGAGCGTGCACGCGTGAGGGAGCAGCTCCAATTTACAAAGCGAATATATTTGAGAGCGCACGTCCAGTTTTGTGCGAGAGCGAGGGAAATCCGGCTAGGAGTGGAGAGCTTCTTGCTCGCGCATTACATGGATGCGCAATCGCGTTACAGTAATGCGCTTTCGACATTTGTCATTAAAATAACACCGAACGAACGCTGTCTAAAAGTTGCGTGTGCGTGTTACTTTCCTGGATCAGCGCCTCTTTCAAGTGACGTACAGGAGGAAATGCATCATCTCTTCTGACTCGCTCTCTGCGCTCGATTTAAAACCAAAACTGCACTCTTTACTCAAGTTCAGTCATTTATTTCTTCTTTAGACATCAAACCACGGAAGCTCTGTGCAGACTGAGATTATGGCTCAATGGATGCAATATACAATATTTCTGACTGCTGTTTTGCGTGTGTGGTCATCTGCTGAGACGAGCAGAAGACGAGAGTTAACAGAGGCACAGGTAACAAAAACGTGATTTACTGTAAACGTACTTTTTATGTTACTTTTTATGTTTTGCCATGAAATACTTAAAAGTATCAATAAACTAACCTGAGAGTTTTAATGTCACTGTGATCACGCACACACACACACACACACACACACACACAAAGCGATACACTACACAACATGATAAAGTATGCATTCATATGCGTTAAGGGCTGCGCCAAAAATCCGCATTTGAACAGTCAATAGCAAATACTTAAACTATTAAGAAAACATACTTACAGTAGCTGATTCAGAATAAGCGCCAGATTGTCATAGCAAAGTTGGAATTGACCCATTTTTTTTAAATAGCCTTTGCACAGCCAGCCTTGTACTCTCCTAGGTTCACAAAACTGTCGTCCATAAAATGCCTTGCACAAATTCGAACATTTGGGTTGTGATGTTCTGTTGTAAATAAATCTTAACCAATGATTCCTCATTGCATCTACTTTCGGAAGGCCAAATAAAGTGCTTTTGCTTTTGCACAGAAACACACAGAGTCTCCCTGACATGGCTGCATCAACACTATTGTGGTTCCTGAAACCACGCCTTCTTTCTTTGCATGAGCATTTGGGCGGCATTACGCAAATATTTCCACATCCTGACATAGAGATGTAGGGGCGTGTTTGAAAGAGGCGTTTTAGCCCGGTCTGGATAAGCCATCTCTTTTAGATAGAATAAATCCTTTTGTGGGAGACTTTGAGCTTTGTAACTCTGTAGATCTTATACATGCACAAATAGCTACATAACACACTAAGAAAAGGAAAAATAGAAATCGCATCATATGACCCATTTAAATTAAATAAATAACTATTGGTTGATTGCTTAATTGATGCGAGGACAACGTTTGAGCGTGCACGCGTGAGGGAGCAGCTCCAATTTACAAAGCGAATATATTTGAGAGCGCACGTCCAGTTTTGTGCGAGAGCGAGGGAAATCCGGCTAGGAGTGGAGAGCTTCTTGCTCGCGCATTACATGGATGCGCAATCGCGTTACAGTAATGCGCTTTCGACATTTGTCATTAAAATAACACCGAACGAACGCTGTCTAAAAGTTGCGTGTGCGTGTTACTTTCCTGGATCAGCGCCTCTTTCAAGTGACGTACAGGAGGAAATGCATCATCTCTTCTGACTCGCTCTCTGCGCTCGATTTAAAACCAAAACTGCACTCTTTACTCAAGTTCAGTCATTTATTTCTTCTTTAGACATCAAACCACGGAAGCTCTGTGCAGACTGAGATTATGGCTCAATGGATGCAATATACAATATTTCTGACTGCTGTTTTGCGTGTGTGGTCATCTGCTGAGACGAGCAGAAGACGAGAGTTAACAGAGGCACAGGTAACAAAAACGTGATTTACTGTAAACGTACTTTTTATGTTACTTTTTATGTTTTGCCATGAAATACTTAAAAGTATCAATAAACTAACCTGAGAGTTTTAATGTTAGGTTACATGAAGCCCGATCCATCAAACAGCCAGAAGACAACGCTAAAAAGAATAGGCTCAAGAATTCTGAATTAATCTTAACATTACGGGAAGTTAAAAGAATATCGAGACAGTCATAATAATGTTATGTTAGTCTGACCAGCGCTCTCTTGGAGCAAACATCAGAATTCTGTCGACATGCTGTGGTTATTATATATATATTTTTTATAATAATAAGGGTCAAGCGTCGGAGTTTTTGTTCTATGAATGTATTAGTCATATTTATTAATACATTAAAAATGTAATGCATTCAATGCTTTGTTGATTATGTATGAATTACATTGCATTGCACAATATATGATGATTATTTTATAATAGCCATTATTAATTGACAGTCTTAATTAACTTAATTCGTTATATTTTTGGAACGTGCTTTAAACTATATAAACTTGCTTAACCAACTACTATTACAAAAATGTAATATTGGAAGTTTAGTTTGGAGGGCAGAATTCAGGAGGAAAAATGTAAAAGAAAAAAAGGCTAAAGAAAACAAACATTTCTTTAATTTAACTTTTGACTCAAAACCTTTAGGTAGTTATCCTAACACTGATATTGCATTTGTCATGTCATTTTTTTTACATTTTAGAATTGAATATTTAACAACAGGATTATTGGGATAATTAATTACACTGCATGTATACCCACTTCACATTTAATAGATGTACCTGAGGCGGTTTGGATATCTAAATACTCCACTGAACCCAGAAGCTCAAAGAGATTCCAGTGAGCGGGCTATGAAAGTGGCTCTCAGGTAAAACAGTCACAGTGAATGTAGTCTATGTATAGACATTTCTGTTTATTTCCTTTAATAACACATTGGCTCCTGCACATACTAAAACATGTATCTAAATATGTTACAATTTTAAAATAAATGTATCATCTTCCCCCCCATATTAATACTTGATAATGCTACAGTTTCTAAACTTAATATTTTTGTGACTTTTAATCAAAATTCTTGAGGAATATACATTGTAACCTCTGTTGTTTCTACTGTTGTGAGCTTCTGAACTTTCATATTCGTAAAAGTCTCTTTCAGAGAGTGTCAGGGCTGCCAGTCACTGGAAATCTTGACAGAGCTACTCTTCTTAAAATGAGGCAGCCGCGGTGTGGTGTTGAGGACCCCTTCAACCAAAAGTCTTTAAAATACAGGCGATTTGGTGGTGAGCATCTACTTCCTGATTGTTTAATAATAATACAGTCAACCGTCTCAAACTAAATTTGTTACATTTTCTCTGATGTCTATTATAATGAAGATTGTTCTTAATGTATTCCAATTCATGTGTAATGCCTCATAAAAAAAGAAAAACCTAATAATATGTAGTATTGTCATGGCAAGCTAAAATTATTTAGAATCATTGCCAAAAATACACTGAACAACAAACACAAACTGAAACAGTTATAATCCACAATGCATAGACCAGGACCAACACAAGTGAACTGAAAACACAAGCTTAAATACACAGGGAAGGTGAAGAAATAAACAAGGGACAGGTGAGCGTAAACAGTGAGTAACTATGGAAGAAACTGAGGAAACAGGAATTGAACACAGGAACAAAAACCAAAACGGAATAGATAAAGTAAAATAAGTGAAGTCTTCTTTTGAACAACACTATGGTATCATGAACGGGCTATGTGACACATTTACTATATTTATTGGAATATCAACAAAACCATTGTTTCTTATGTAAAAAGGTTGCCAGTGAGCTTGAAAAAGCTAACACTGAAATCCAGGCCGTTCACAGGCATTGAGTGTGACCCAAACTAAGAAAAAGGGCATAAAGCCCCCAAACTCTGTCCCCCACTGCCACAAACCCCACTTTAGTTTGATAGAAATTTGACATTGAAATGTTTAAATCTTGAATGTCTGTATTGCAAAAGATCATGCTGATAAATGATCAATATCACAGGAGTGTGATATATCTCTATACCAGCACAGCTCTGATTCAGTTTTTATCAAAGTCTGCTTTATTGTCAATTCTTCCACATGTACAGCACATACATACTGAGAATTGAAATTGCGTTACTCTCAGACCCTTGGTGCATACAGATAACACTAACAGTATAGCATAAAAATACTGGAAGGCCTCTCAGCTAGTCAGATTTGAGGACCTGAACTAACTGTTGTATATAATATACTATATGTTGCGGGGCAGTCATGGCCTAATGGTTAGAGAGTTGAACTTGTAACCCAAAGGTGGGTACTGCGTTCTCTTCCACCCTCTTCCAAGTCTCTTGAGCAAGGCACTGAACCCCCAACTGCTCCCCGGGTGCCGCAGCAAAAATGGCTGCCCACTGTGTGTTCACGGTGTATGTGTGTGTTCACTATTCACTGCTGTGTGTATGCACTTGGAAGGGTTAAATGCAGAGCACAAATTGCGAGTATGGGACACCATACTTGGCTACACGTCACGTCACTTTCACTTATATACAACAGTTAGTTCATTAATACATTGTAAAATGTAGCTGTTGTTACAATTATTTGATGAAAGAAATTATGTGTGCATTATAATGCCTTACGAATACCCTTATGATTTATTATAAATACAGGTTTCATAGAAAGTCTCACTAAAATGTATTTAAAATACTGTGAAAAGCAGTTTAATTCAAATGCATATTGAGTTTTAACCCTTAAAGAGATGTTATGGGCTATGACCTTCTATGTATTAGCTCAAAAAAATAACACAAAATATTTACAAGTACTTGGCTGTACATCCAGAATACTTACTTTCATTTTCTTTCAATTAGCTATGACAAACTGGTATAAGATAAGAACCATAATTGTCAATATGTGTGAGGTACACACATTGGACATAAACAAGTAACCAAGTAAATAAGTTTGCTCTTTATATGGAGAAAACAGCTGTTTGGATTTTTAGTTTGCCTTTCTTATTTCGTAGGATTTTGGCGAAAGAAAAACTTAACATATTACATTTACAACTACACACCAGACATGGGGAAAACGGCAACACAGACAGCCATACGCTCAGCATTTAAATACTGGAGTGATGTCACCCCACTCAGCTTTAAAAAGATTAACTATGGACCTGCTGATATTCAAATCTCATTTCACAAGAGAGATGGCTGTCCTTCACCTTTTGATGGTCCTGGTAAGTAAATCTCTCCAAATTAATTATATTTATTATAATATTAAAAGTTATACAATACAAAATGCATGTATTATATGTATTTATTTTACTCCTGTCATTTTACACATTAATAAGATCGAATGTTATATGGTACGTTATTATTCTCGTAAACCAAGACCTGGCAAACTGTAAACTCAGGGACACACCAGCTTTATGTACGGTTGCTTTACAATGCAGAACAATAATACAAACCCGATTCCAAAAAAGTTGGGACACTGTACAAATTGTGAATAAAAACAGAATGCAATGATGTGGAAGTTTCAAATTTCAATATTTTATTCAGAATCCAACATAGATGACATATCAAATGTTTAAACTGAGAAAATGTATCATTTTAAGGGGAAAATAAGTTGATTTAAAATTTCACGGCATCAACACATCTCAAAAAAGTTGGGACAAGGCCATGTTTACCACTGTGTGGCATCCCCTCTTCTTTTTATAACAGTCTGCAAACGTCTGGGGACTGAGGAGACAAGTTGCTCAAGTTTAGGAATAGGAATGTTGTCCCATTCTTGTCTAATACAGGCTTCTAGTTGCTCAACTGTCTTAGGTCTTCTTTGTCGCATCTTCCTCTTTATGATCCACCAAATGTTTTCTATGGGTGAAAGATATGGACTGCAGGCTGGCCATTTCAGTACCCGGACACTTCTTCTACGCAGCAGGCCATGTTCTTGCACACGCTGAAGCCCCTCCATCAGGAATAGTTCACTTTGATGAAGATGAATTCTGGACCGAAGGGAAGTATTATGGTTCCAATCTGCGTATTGTTGCGGCTCATGAGATCGGGCATGCTCTTGGCTTGGGGCATTCTCAGTACAGCAGTGCTCTTATGGCAGCACACTACAGTGGTTACCAAGCCAATTTTAGACTGCACATTGATGATATCAGAGGAATCCAAGCCATATATGGTAAGATAATCCAAACAAATAACTGAATATTTGCCATATATTTGAATATTTGTAAATAACTGCCTATGTTAATTACTCTTATGAATTCAGGTAAAAGGATCTCTAGTACAACCACTGCTGATGATATCTATGCCATGACATATCCCACTACCATGGCCCCATTCCCCAGGGGTGATATGCTAGATCCATGCACTGCTAAACTTGATGCTATAATGCTGGGTGAGAAAACCATGTAGTATAGCGGTGCACATGACTTCAGTTCATTCAAGTTAAACAAATACAGTAGATTTGCTTGTTCTGTGACTAATAACATCATATAACATGTTCTAGAAAATATTATAAAATGTTATTTATTTATTTAATTTTGTGTTAGGTCCATCACGTAAGACGTATGCTTTTAGTGGGGATTATGTGTGGACAATTACAGATATGGGCCATAACTCTCCAGTAAAAATAAGTTTGCTATGGAAGGGGCTACCAGGAAACCTGAATGCAGCTGTATATTCCCCAAGAACCAACAAGACATACTTCTTTAAAGGTAGATTATTGTTCTCTGCACATAAAAGTGTTTTTTATGCATTTTAAACGGCATTTTAGCCAATAATTAATGTAATACAAGAGAAGCTGTTTACTCACAAAACTTTAAAACTTGAGAGAGAGTCGACTAGGATGTAGCAGGGGGTGTGGACTATCAAAATACTGATAGTTGATTCCAAGCTACGATGCAATCAATACATTGATATTGATGATATTTTTGATGATTAAATACTATTAGATTAAAAAGCATGTTTGACAGGCAGTAGAAGTCAGTTTGTTGTAATCTATGATAAAGTTGAAAAGGGCTATGTTGTGGTCAGAGCTGGTACTAAGTCAAACATGTGGCCTGGGAACAGACTGGATCAGGCTCACTCTGGTAACCTGGTGATGAGACACTAGAAAGAAAGACACTAATATAAGCATAGACTCCCTTCACTTTTCCCCTTCACAAGATACTGGAGATGCCCTTGGCGATGGCTAGAGTCCAGAAAGTACCAAACAGTGTATGCCAGACCATCCTCTAAAAGCAACATTGGAGGAGGAGGGGCATTTTCTTCACCAGTCCCTGGGGAAACAGAAGGAGGAGTGAATGGCTTAAGTCATAAGACATGAAATGTGGGATTGATCGTGTACTGCGGGGGAAGACCTGACCTCCTGGATGGTATTGAGGGGTTTCTGAGTGCCAGGCATCTGCATGGATCTGGTGTGTACCTCACTCTCACTTCTGTGACAGTAGGTTCTCAAGAAGCTGGAGATTTCTTGGATTGTGTGCTCTGTTTGTTCATTGGTCTGGGGATAATAACCAGAGGAGAGGCTGATGGAAATCCCCAGGAGGGGGAAGAAGGAGCACAAGACTCAAGAAATAAACTGTGATTTGTCACATTGTCTTCTGGCAGGCCAGAGGTGCTGAACAGATGATAGAACAGGACCTCTGCCATCTCCAGTCCTGTGGGAAGCCTCTTGAGGTGAATCAAATGGCAGGCCATATAAGAGATTGGTTACAAAGTCCATGCCAATGTGGGACAAGGAGAGACTGGAATTTTCAAGATGGGAGAAACTTTGGATGCCACACATATTCACATGTTCACTTCAGCAGTCAGATTTTGCCAGCAGTAGTTTCTCCTAATCAACTCCAAATGGATTCAGGGATATAAGTGCGGCCCAAAGGACAAGCAGGAAGAGTGGAATCATGAGGTCAATATCCCATTGGATGGGCCTGTTGAAAATGGAGGATGGGAGAATGAATATGAGGTCAACTTTGGGAAGATTGGCAGCATGCAGTTGGAAGAGGGTGATGAGCTTTGGTGTTTTTGGAACTATGTCTACATGTCACAGTGTAGTGAAATCAAGTGAAAAAGAGTGCCCTCCATTCCTGGTGGGAATTTAGGCACTTGGTAGAGTGGAGTTACTCCAGATTGCATTGGTCATGATGACTTGGAAGGGTAGCTGGTATCCCTCTAGTCAAGTCACCTTTATTTGTATAGTGCTTATTACAATATAGATTGTGCCAAAGCAGCTTCACAGTGATAAACAGGAAATATAGTAGTTGAGTTTCCATAATTGATTCTGCTGAGACAACAGTGTCATTGTTCAGATCAAGTTAAAATCAATAACAGTGTGAATTTCATCCCACTCATAGCTCAGGGGTGCGTTTCCAAAAAGCATTGTTAGCCAACTATGTTCGCAAGTTCCGTCGTTACCAACATAGTTCAACTATTTGGTGTTTCCCGAAACCATAGTTCAAACGAACATTCGAACATTCGGAAACAGCGTCGCAAACTTACGTGTTAGGAACTACAGCTCTCGACCTGTGGTTAGAAGCATAGTTTCTTGTTAGTAAGACATATGGACTTAAATAAATTATGCTTTTGGACACAATAAGCAAGCTAACATGCAGTACAATCTAAATCTTCCATTCAATTTAAATATATTTTTTATACATTATACATTTTAATCTATGTATTTTTGCTTGTCCTCAATAAGCGCCGTTTTTGAAGAGTGCGCATGTGCATAAATGCCTAAGGGAACCCCAGAGTATGGAGTAAGAGGAAACCTGCGATGAATCAAACATCAAATAAAGCAAAACGACAGGCAACAAAACATAGTAAATTAGTCATCAGGTGCCATGTTCAATACAGCAGCATCTCAGAAATCTCGAAATAATTAATTAGCAGAAGTTATTACTCCACCACATCCGTGTGATTTCATTAAAAACGGCCCTAAATTGTTGAACTAATGTGGTTCAAACGACGGATATGCAACCGTATTCGGGAAACGGTCGTGATTGGCTAGTTAGTTTCCACAACAATGCATCGTACAATGGTGGTTAATCAGTGAGTTACGTTGTTGTATGGGAAACGCACCCCAGTTCGGTTCTACAAAAGGCAGCAATGTCATTAGTCAGCTGTAGTTAGCTTAGTGTTGATTCAATGTTGCAAGATGTGATTCAGCTGCATTGCAGCTCCACAGACGACAATAGTTAAGTTTGATTAAATTCCAAGTTATTGTTCCTATGCAATGGTGTCAGTGTGGTCATATTGATAGATTTTCTAAAAGTTATGTGACTTTCAGACCCCAACTAAGGAAACCAGAAGGCAACAGTGGCAAGGAACCCAAACTTCATTGTGTAACAGAATGGAGAAAGAAACCTTGGGAGAAACCAGGCTCAGTTGGGGAATTAGTTCTCCTCTGGCATAAGCAAACAAACATGATAATATGAGTTGTAGTCTGTTAAACACATTGAAATATGAAAGTAGAGCTGCCACTTTAGCCAGTAGTCAATGACTGGCTTATCAGTGGCCTTAAGCAAAATGAACATCCTTCTGGAAAAAAACGGTCCCAACTGGACCTGGCATGGTTGGCCATATGGATCTGTGCCAAGGGTTTGTTTTTGAGGTCTCCACTGACCGTGAAGGGCTGTGTTGAGGCTGTTTCTGGGTGCAGGTCCACCATATGGTCTGGATACTGATATGGACCCGATCTGGCTGGCTATGGTTTCCTCTGGATAAGGATGAAACAGAGAGTAATATAAGTGCAGGTGCCATTCTTCTTAACAAGTACATCAGATGTTATGGGAGGTTAAGTTTTATGCATTGGATACTGAGCATATGTCGTAATTTAGAGATATTTTTAAGATGGAAAAATGCAGATTTACAAATGTACTTAACTGAAGTCTAAAAAATCTCTTCTCTTCTACCCACCTGCTCCTCTTTCTCAGGTGAAAAAGTCTGGAGGTTTACAAAGTACCGCCTTGACTATCGATACCCCAAACCACTAAAAAGAATCCCTGCCAATATTGACGCTGCTTTGTATTATGAGAAGAACAAGAACATTTTCTTCTTTAAGGTACAGTGAGATTTTAACATTACTGTACACAACCTATGCTTAAGAGAAATAAAATCAAGAAAAAAAAATAATGAAAAATTCTTAAGCCCTCATGTCTGTACAAAGTTCTCTCTATATAAACAAACATTTCTGTTGATACATATTTACCATTTTCTAGTTAAGTAAGTGGTTCTCAGCTCCAGTTGTGGGAACCCACAGCACTACACAACTTTTGCCTCTCTTATTTACACATCTGATTAAAATCATCAGCTTCTTACCAAAGAGCTGCATGAACCAAACTTATACTGTATCAGAAAACGTGTACTACTTCACTACTCCTTATACGGTGTACTCCTTCACTAATCCCTATGTTGAAGTAAATGAAGTGAGCAAATGTGTATAAGAGCTGGAGCTGTATTTTCATTCAGATGTATATGCGCTCAGATATAACAATGTGCCCACAGCACCCTCAGATGACTGTTAATAGAATGACTAAATTACCTACAGATGATTGGCAAATATTTTTAAATCATATACCAAATTAAAATTTGTTCTGCATACAAGTCTTGGGAGTAAAAAAAAAAAAAAAAAGTAAATTCAGTGAATTAGAAAATGCTTGGAATTTTGGCTGATTTAATGCCTAAAAATAAACTTATTCTTAGAATTTCATTTATTTTGTTTTAAAATGTACCTTTATAATTATATTTTAGGATGGTTTTTAATCAAGTAATAATTTGTTTAAAAAAAAAAGAAAAGTTAAACAAAAACTAGAGGCACTGAGAATTAATTTTATAAAAGCTAAAAACTGCACTTCTCATTCAAACTAGCTCTCTCTCACAATCTCTCTTTCTTGCTAATAAATCCTCTCCACATTGGATTATGGCAATGGTTCTCAATCCCGGTCCTGTTACCCTACCGCTTTGCACATTTTGTACTATATATCTCTTATCTGACACACTAAACCCCCGTTAACACTGCCAGCGACACACTGCAACAAAGCAACATGATCCCATTCATTTTTATTGGAGAGCTGGTGACTTCCAGTGACACAAGCAACAGTAGGCAACAGAATGTAGGCATGTCATGGGATACGAGTCACACGACAAAGTTTATGCAACTGAGCCACAATTTTTGTGAGCAACAACCAATAGGAGTGAAAACTATGTCAGTGGTGCTCATATGTTACTGGCTCAAGTTCAAGCAAGACAGGACAGAGTTCAGAGTGATTTCACTGTTTTATAAGATTTGACTGTAATCACATACATCAATATAATAAAATGATGTGTGGAAAAGAAACTGTCGGCAGTCTTAGTGAGTTTGATCTATACATTGATAATTTGTGTTGTTAATTATATGATGCAGTGAGCAGTTTAGCACTGCTGCAGTTCATATTACAGTTTTACATGCATAATGTTGATTATTAGGAACAAGAAAATTTATTATTTGTCAAATTTGAATGATGTATTAGTAATTTTTGGCAGCACGAGAATTTGTTGATTGATTTGTTAATCTGGTTAATGGTTTAATCCAGTGAGCACTGCTGTAGTTTATATTACAACACCATTCAACAGTTACTTTTAATTCTGAGTCTAATTAAAAGGATCCTAAAAGAACACAGCTGTGGGTGGTCTATAGTTGCAAACTATCTGGGTCTTTGAATCCACCAAGGGAAGACAAAGTGTGGTGGTAACCAGATGCATGCTTGCATTGCGACAGGCAGTTCAGACAAGGGGGAATCATAGCCAAGTTGAGCACCACAGTGCTACTGCCCCCATCTCTGCAGCAGGACAGGAGGAGGAAGGTCAGTAGTCTTCCCATCAGAATCTGCACCAGCAGCAAGTCAGCCCACAGCAAGAGCATCCCCACAAAACATCAAGTAGGAAACCTTCAAGATAATCACCAGTCAAGCACACACAGAAACCTGTGGAACCAGATAAATACACGTCTCAAACACCTGAGACAAGCAGAAAGACTCAGGAAATGCAGACAGCAGAGGAAGAAAGCAAGTGCTAGCTTCATCCAGGATCCCTTTAAGTGTGTTCTTGGATTGATGGAGGAAAAAAGGTCTGGGACACTGCAGGCAACTGAGCTGGAGTTGGAGGAATACTAAAAAGAACTATAGAGCTGCATCAACACCTGGGCAAAATGGCAAACCCTACAGGGTTTTCAAGAACTTCCCCAGGCTCCTGAAGCTGTTATGGAAGCTAATGCGCATTGCCTGGAAAACCCAATCCATCCCACCCACATGAAGCATTGCATCACCACCTTTATTCCAAAGGAAAAAGACTCCTGCAGCATCAGCCAATTCAGATGCATCATAAATGTTGAAGGGAAGATCTTTTCTGTGGTGGCAAAACGCATCACCGCCTACATCTTAGTTAACAACTACACTGATAGCAGCTGTCAAAAGGCAGGCTTGACTGGGTTTTCTTGCTGTGTGGAACACACTGCCATGATCTGGAAACAAATACAGACAGCCAAACGCAACAAATCAGACCTCCACATAATTTGGCTGGATCTTGCAAATGCCTACGAGTCTGTTCCCCACCATCTAATTTTCTTCACGCTGAACTTCTTCCACATACCATCAAGCATCCAGAATTTAGTAGCAAACTACTTCAACAACTTTTATGTCTGCTACACAACCCAGGATACCTCATTGGCATCAGCTACAAAAAGGCATTGTTCGAGCTCTCTCATCCTTTTCACTCTAGCCTTTGAGATCATCCTAATAGGAGGAAGACCGATGGTTTGCAAAGTTATATTGCAGTCAGGTCAGCGGCTTTCAGCCATACAGAGCTACATGGATGTAGTCAGCACACTTTTTTAAAGGCAGCATGAAACAACAGGCTACTGTGGAGGCTCGATGAGCTGCTACAGTATGAAGATAAAACCTGCCAAGTCTCGCAGCCTATCATCTGGAAAGGAGTGAGAAATGACAACATCTTCTCAGTCAATGGTCAGAGAATCCCACTGTTGGCAGAACAACCTGTATAAATTCTTGGGAAGTTCTATACTGCTGAGCTATCTGACAAGCACATGGCCATCTCTGTGATGTCTCATCTGACAGGTGAGTTGAGCAAAATCGACTAAAGCTTTCTCCCAGGAAAGTTTAAGGTTTGGTGTTACCAGTTCGCCCTTGAAATTGTGATATCACCTTGACAGCAGTTGAGAAGATGGACTGCAAAGCCAACAGCTACATCAGTAAATGGTTGGGCCTCCCACAATGCCTTCTCAACACCGTTTACAGCTGCCCCTGAAATCCATCTACCTGGGCTACAAGCAGGAGAAGGTAAGGCACTTGTTTAGCTAAGAGACTCAAGGTTCTCTTTAGAGAATCTAACTTCAAGGTTCACGTCTGCTCTGGACAAAAGTGGAATAGGTAGTAGTTCAGGAGATCGTTGGGTGGCTGCAGACAGGCAGGGCCAGCCTTGGGTGGGGATCGGCTCGCAAGCTGTGCTCCAAAGACAACCTGGACGGCAGTCGTAGACAGGACAAACATTTGTGGTATGGTTTGGAGGAGTCCTGCCAAATTTTTAACTCCAAGAACCCAAGTTTGCAGCACATATTATCTGCCTGCAAAGCAGCATTGACTCAAGGCCAATGGCACCAAGACCAGCTCCTGTGCAAGCTGGCCAAAATCTTGGAGGTACGCAGACTGGAGGCAAACAGGGCTAGTCTGGCAACACCACAGCAGCTGGTCCAGTTTGTCAGGCAAGGAGGTATGGCCCACAGTAGCAAAACAAGGTCATGGTCCCTCCTCTCACCCAGAGGTAAGTGGAGCATGAGCGTTGACCTTGAATGCCAGCTGATGTTCCCTCATGAGATCACCATAACCTTGCTTTGGCCAGACATTGTGCTCTGGTCCACTTCTACTATGTTCGTCATCTTGGCAGAACTGAATGTGCTATGGGAATAAGGAATGGAGGCTGCCTTTGAGAGGAATATGAAAGGTATGCAGCACTATCAGCTGCATGCTCACAAGCTGGGTGGATGGCATCAACATTTCCGGAAGAAGTTTGGTGCAGGGACTTCACTGGAGCATCCACCCTATTTCATGAAATGCCTTGTCCAAACTGAAGAAGGCCCTCAAAGATCTGGCAGAGGAGGCAGAACAGGGGAGCTTTTGGCTCTAGCTCCAGATGAAAGACAAGATGTGGGCAAAAATTGATCTTAGGACCTTTCTGCAGGGCACAGTAGAGAGACGTCCCTGCCACTGCTCCACCACCTCAAGATGTTTCAGGATTAAAAGAGTAAAACATCAGTAAAACACTACATACCTGCACATTTATGGCTATAGACTGATGCATAATATGTATGAGCATGACATCACCGTTTTCACAAATTTGCATTTCTGTAATTTACATGGAGATGATAATGGTACTGTTTTCAAAATCTTGCACTTTGAAACCAGTTTTCGAAAGGTTTCAGGCCCCCAAAACACAATTGTCATGTAAATGAACAGCCAAAATTCATACAAACTTTTTCATGGTATGTGTAGTTGAAAATTATGTTTAAATGTACCCTCAGCTAGTTCATGGAACTCTATCCTAAAGAACTGATGATCTGAATCAGCTGTGCTAGGTAAGAGAGACATACAAATATGCAGAGCAGTGGGGTACCAGGACCAAAATTGAGAACCACTGGATTATCGTAAATAGTTCTTTGGCGAGTGTACATCAGATGTTCGCTCTAAATCCTTAATCAGATTTTGATCAACTACAAAATGCCCAATATTTGATATACAGTAATGCACTATATAAAAAGAGATTTCAGACACAGCTTTGATTTGTCAGATAAGGGAGACGTACAAAATCTATGGTTGCTTTGGGCCACCAAGACAGAAGTTGAGAACCACTGTATTAAAGGGGTCATGAAATGCTTTTAAAATTTTTTTTTATTATGTTTCCTAGTGTGTCTGCTGTGAGACTTTACTGTAAACACCCACTGCTATGACTGGCTAACATCAATGGATATGAAATAAGCATCACATGTTGATTGCTCTCGAAAACTTAATGCATTTTTATTAGAACGTCCACTGATTAGTTAATACTAATGGTGAAGTGTTGATTGTAGCATTAGATTTAGAACTACTCCCGTTGCTCAAAGGTTGCAGCACTGCACTGTAGCCGAATGCAGTCATGCACATGATGCAGTGATTTCCTTATTACAATGTGATTTCTGCTGTCTCACAAAAACTTTCATCATAACTAACACGGTGAAAACACAATGTAAATGAGAGTCTCTTTGTCAAAGGCTGTTACGGAGCCGACGAGACGTGAGATATGCGGATCCATGTGCAAGCTTTATTAAGCAGAAAAAAAATTTTTTATTATGTTTCCTAGTGTGTCTGCTGTGAGACTTTACTGTAAACACCCACTGCTATGACTGGCTAACATCAATGGATATGAAATAATCAGCACTGCACTGTAGCCGAATGCAGTCATGCACATGATGCAGTGATTTCCTTATTACAATGTGATTTCTGCTGTCTCACAAAAACTTTCATCATAACTAACACGGTGAAAACACAATGTAAATGAGAGTCTCTTTGTCAAAGGCTGTTACGGAGCCGACGAGACGTGAGATATGCGGATCCATGTGCAAGCTTTATTAAGCAGAGAGGTCAGAAACACAGGCAGGATCGAACAAGGGCAAACAGGTGGGCAAGACACAAGAATAATCCTAGGGCTAGCGAAGGTCATCGAACAGCAAACAGAATCAAAAAGGGACAAGACGATAAGAGATAAATCCAGGAAAACAGGCGAAGATCAAAAACCGAGAAAACCGGCTAGGCTAGGCTAGGCTAGGCTAGGCAGCTAACGAGGGCTCTGTAGTGTAGCTATCAAACTGATAAGTGCTAAACAATACTCGGCAGAGGGAAGGGATCAGAGTGAGTGTTAAATAGTGAGGGAGTGATATGAAACAGCTGGGTGCAATCAGTGCTGTGAATGATGGGATATGTAGATGATATGCAACAGTGTGAGTGCGAGAGTCAATGAAAATGGGAAGGGTGACCTCTGATGGTTAGCCGACGGAAGTTCATGGACCGGATTCGTGACAAAGGCAGTGTAAACTGTGTAATTTATTGTAATAGTTTAATAATATTATGAGTTTTGATGAAAATACAGAAATCAAGTCACTGATAGACTCTCGTTGATCTTGAACTGACTGCTTTAACGATTATAAAGAGAATGCTCTTTATGTATAAGCTTGGGTTCTGTATATAAAATTATCACAATATAGATAACAGATGCTACTAACAGCGTGAAGTTGATGGTTTAATCACTGGTTTGATTCACTAATGCATAAATAGCAAACCAAACCAACCACAAAACCAAATTTGCGAGAAAAGAACATCTGTACATGAGCCCTTACACAGATCACAGGTCATGATGGTCATGAAATGCAATTTCAGTTTTTTATATTATGATTACATTCTCAAGGTTAGTTTATAAAGTTTTGCACCAAAAAGGTCTTTATTTACCTAACAGCAGTATTGTGATTGATGGAAAGACATGAGTTGTTGAGAACATACCTCCTTGATTACATGACAGTGACGCATTTTAAAGGGCGTGTCGATGAGAATTGTGATGTCATAGTTCTCTCAATTTTAAATCTGGGCATTTCAGAAGGGTAGAAAAGAATAATTAATATTTTAAAACTGGGGGGATAGTTCTGAGTTTTAAAACTTGCTGTATGTTTTTATTTTAGAGAAACCTCTTATATGCATAAATATAAAGAACATGTTGATTCTCCATTTCGTGACCCCTTTAAACTGAAGTGAATTGATTGACAGTCATTATATAATTTTAATTTAATTAAAAATATATAGTTTTTCATGAAGCAGAACAATGCGAAGTTGTCACGAAATAGAAAAATTACACAAAACAGAGTCCTTTTATTATTAATTTATCACAGATCAGGCTTTAGAATGAACATTAACAAGTTGGTAATTTTTCAGTAAAAGTGTGTTCATTTGGAGCTTGTTTCCATTTGTGACTAGTTTACATAAGAATCCACAATGAAATGTCCTGAACAAAAAACTTATTAATGACTCGATCTGGCACTTTGAATAAACACTTTTCACTCTCCAGAATCCTTCATAATGTTTGCAGAGACAATATTCTGCGCAATAAGAACTGCACAACATACTTAGCAGGTATCTCAATTTATTTTTATTCCAAGTGATCCTGTTTTAGTATCTCTCCCTTTTCTTTTCTTTTTATCTCCTCACTAACATGCGCCAGTGTTTTTTGCAGGAAGTCTTGCGCTGATGTGCTCATCATAAAGACAAGGAAGTCCAAAATTAGTCATTTTGGTAGCTTGGTTTCAATAAAAGCTGTTTTGGATTAACAAGAAAGTGTTGATTTCTAAAACCTACAGTGTATTTTTATAGTACAATGAACTTGATATGTCAAAAGATCAAGGAAAGTTTTATTTTATAATTCATGACCACTTTAAATCATTGATATAATTTTTTTCAGGGTTCGGGCTATTGGAAGTGGGATGAAATGGTTTATAATGACCTCAGCATTTATCCCAAACCCATTTCCCGTCTGTTTATTGGCATCCCATCAAATCCTGATGCAGCTTTCACATGGACCAATGGGAAGATGTATTTCTTCAAAGGTGACAAGTACTGGCGCTTAAATGAGCAATTAATTGTTGATTCTGGATACCCACTCAGCAAGCGTGTCCGCTGGATGAGGTGCAACTAATTTGCAATGTTTCCCTTTAAACTCAGTGAACATTTTACGCTACACTATGTAACTTTTTGCCTTCAGCTTCACACTATCCACAGCCAAAGCTACTTATCTCTGTAACACGCATGTGTATGCAATTTCCAGTAAATTCAATCCCGGCACCTCTAAAATACAAATCATTATTGTAGGTATTTAAATATATGTGTGTGTGTGTGTGTGTGTGTGTGAATTCTGTTGTACTCCAAAAAATGTGAGTATATGCCATAATTGCGTACTCATGCATTTCAAAAGCATTCTGCTGTAGAGATATTGGTATGGATATTGAAACTAACAGAATAGCTAATCAGTTGTACTCATTAAAAATTGTACTGTATGTCCAAAAGAAGTGCCTACATTTCACTTAAATAAACAGGGTTGCATCTAACCATTTACATCCAACTGCATTTCGTTTTTTCAGCCTTATGCTAAACTGCTTTAAATTGCTTTTCTTTCACATTAGTCTACACTCTACATACCCCATAATGTCAAAGCAAAAACTGATTTGTAATAACTTTATTTCAGTTTTTTAATTGTTAATAAACTTGCAAATACATTGCATATGTATTGAGACTCTTTAGCTCAGAAGCATTCCCGTTTCTCTGGACCATCTCAAAGATGTTTCTACACTTGAGTTAACCTGTAGCAAATTCAACTGATTATAGACTTGATTTAGAAAGATACACACCTGTTTATATTCTGTCGCATATTCTGCAAAGCTTGTCGCATAATACTAAAAAAAAAAAGCCTTGAGGCTTTAATTGCCAACAGTGGTGCTTCAACTACAGTAAGTACTGAGTTAGGGGTATGAATACTTATGCAATGTAATTTTTTCAATAATCTATTACTGATAAATTTACAAAGTTATCACAAATCAGTTTTTTGACTTGTCATTATGAGGCATGGAGTGTTAAAAAGTAGTTTAGCATAGGGTTGCAACATAAAATGTAAAAAAAATAAAATAAAATAAATACTTACACAGTGCACTGTGTATATATATATATATATATATATATATATACAGTGGTGTGTTTTGGCAGCACTACATGAAATTAAGCAGGTAGTTTTTATGTTTTGGCTGATCAGTGTATATTCATTGGTGCACTCTATAAATTGCATTACAATTGCATTGTATATATTATTTATATAATAAAATGCTTCATAAAAACGGCAGGAAATAATTTATTACAAAGTCATCATCCATTCAAACACACTCACTGTAGTTATTAAGCACTATTCAGATAACATATTTCAGTTGTATATTGTTATTCCTGTGTTCACCTCTCTTTAAGAATTGCTGGAGCACTTGCATACCTTCTACACGTGTCCTGAATCATACCACAGCTGACACCTTATAGACAAATATTTCAGTGGTTCCTTGAGTCCTATGATATCCCTGTGTTTGTGAAATTGTTATAATAAAGTGCTGACTGACTTGTCTATTTGTGTTTTATGAAAATTACATAAAAAAATGATGATGTATTATCTGACATACACGTGAAACTCATTCCTTTCTCTAATTACTTTATATGAATATTTGATGCACACACAGCTGTGTGGGCTGTTTCTTCGCACTGAGTTGTCAACGTCTGAAGCAGACTGTGCTCACAGAGAGAAAAGCCCTGGATACTTCAAGAGCCTAGACTCCATTCAGTCTGAACTGTTCCCACATCATCTACTAGAGACACACCCATTTGCTTTAGTACTACTTTCACAAAACAGGTGCCCATTTTTTAAAACTATGAACACACTTGTAACACTATTACACTTGTTATAGTCATTCATTCCAGTTGAACATATTTTCTTTCCACATAATCATTGTTTCAAAACTCTTTTGAACACAACATGAGACCATTTGGTTTAATCATCAGAACACAATAGTATCTTCATACAACTGAGTACTTGTAACAGTTCACTTGTTGGCAAACAATGCAAAATCCATGTTTCAAATACACTTACATTACACAACAGACATACAATCCATAATGTTTGAAATTGTCTCGTTGGTGCATTTTCAAAAGGTGTGATGAAAATATGACACGGCCATGAGGTTTTGTGCTGGAGCCTAGAACAGAGTTTGCTGCCAATGCAGTGAATGTTCTCACTGTACCATATGAATGTACTGTGGTTGACCTTTTCACTTGAAGGGTGAATTACAGTAATGTGGCAGTCTCTATGGTAAGGACTCTGTTTACAGTATCACATGGCATATGTGATGTAAAATACCTGTATTTGATCAAATTGGTACATGGTATCTGTCACCCTCCTTCAGATGTGTTTCTGATCAACTTGACTTTGTCATCTTGATGAATCAGTCAATGACTCTGATCTGAGTCATTGACTGATTCATCTCCCTTGTACTCTGTCCTGCTTTATGTTCAGAAATCACACACACAAACACACACACACAGAACTGCAGTTATGTGAGATTACCTGCTTATATTAGAACAATAATTCATATTTAGCTATTCATTTTAGAAAGTATATATAACAGTACAAAATGATTTAATTAAGATCAGTTATACCAAATGATGATATTAAATTGAATGAGAAGAAAAAAGAAAAAAAAGGTGTTTAACTCAGTCAGTGAAGGCCTTACAGGCATTGCCCATGCTGCTTAGAGAGATAATAATAATAACAATAATGCATTTTATTTATAGGGCACCTTACATGACACCATACACAAGGACATCTTAAAATGCATGAAACAAAATGACAAAAGCTAAAAAATTTGACAAAATCATTACAACCAATAAAAGATACTGGAAAACCTACGAGCGTTTTGAGACTAAATGTAAAAATGGGAAGATTGTCACTATTGCGAGTGAGATGTACTGTATAAATGCTGGAACGGTCACACATCACACAAAAGTCAAGAATGAATTAGCTTTGATATCTAGCCTCCATGACTCCCTCTACTTCAATTACTGTCAATGACTTAAGTTGTGTAAGTTTATTTTGTATGAGATAAGTGTATAATGTGTCAGATGTAGTGTAGTCTGCATTACTGTAATGTCTTTAATTCAGCATCAAGGCTTTGACATGTACCTTGCTCTTGAACAAACTGACTGTTAAAAGTACTCAAAGAAGATCATACTGTTGTGCTTTGTTTCAAAAACAGAAGATCATTATAACATGCAATGAAAACATTTAGTTTAATTAACAATGATTTTGTGAAATTCTTTTCACAAAATCATTAATTAAACTAAATGTTTACATTGCATGTTATAATGATCTTCTGCTTTTATTTGAGTTGTACATATTTTCTAAAATGTACAACTCAGACCAGGATCTGACTAGTGGTGTGATAACTTTGTACTAAGAGTTTTGAAAATGTACACCAAAACAGATTTCAAAATCACACCTTTTAAAAATGCACCAGTGAGACAATTTCAAACATTATGGATTGTATGTCTGTTGTGTAATGTAAGTGTAGTTGAAACATGGATTTTGCATTGTTTGCCAACTAGTGAACTGTTACAAGTACTCAATTGTATGAAGATACTATTGTGTTCTGATGATTAAACCAAATGGTCTCATGTTGTGGTCAAAAGAGTTTTGAAACAATGATTATGTGGAAAGAAAATATGTTCAACTGGAATGAAAACTTGAGGTCAGAAAGAATGAGATTTTGAAAGAATGACTATAATGTAGCGTCTGGACCACTCAAACACACAATATATATTTTGTTAGCTAGATTTAACAAATACTCTGTAACACTGAAGCTGAACAGGCCCCTGGTTCCATAGCAATGCTGACAACAAGTGTAATAGTGTTACAAGTGTGTTCCTTTCTTGTATAGTATCAATAGAGAAAAAAGGGGGTTAGTTTTTGTGTTCAATTTTTGTGTTTCAATGACTTTGACTAGACAAGCATCATTCAAATGTGAAGATTCAGGAGAAGGTTCATTTTTAGGCAGCATTTTTCAATATTCTGTGTTAAATCTTTGGTGTCCATGTAAAACCGGTCTTGTTTAACCAGTGCTAAAAATGCAACATCACTGAGAGCAGCTTACATTAAACAAGATTTTAATGTTTGATTTCATTCTACCATAGTTTCAAGATGCAGTCACAAAATTGTAAATAACTACAATAAATATATTTAGCCAAGTACCATATATAAAAATGTCCGTAATATATCAATGACAGTGTCTTCATTATCATAATCATCATCTTTGATCATAATTATTATCATGTTTCTAAATCAGTGGTTCATAATCAAGCTTTAAATAAATTTTTTTTTTAATTTTCAATGCATCACTCCAGTTGTAGTTTTACTGTTTTAGATTGTTCTTTGTTAGTTTTAGTTTTTTGTTAGATCTTTGCAAGCTTTAGTTTAGTTTTTTTCAGTACATTGTAGTTTTTAATTTCAGTTTTTATATTAAACAAAAAAGGAGCATGGAGAAAATAGGCATTTGTGCAATGTGGCTCATAATATCTCAATATGAAAATCATTCTTCTTTTAAGAAGACGGTCTATGCAGTGGCAATGTTATGATGGGCCTGTCGGTGCAGACTGGTCATAGTGCCCATGATGACCCGTCCACAGTCGAAAAAAGCCCATAGAATGAGCACATGAGTAATGGGACTGGACCTTGGAGCAGTGGAAGAAGGCTGTCTGGTCCGATGAGTCCCGTTTTCTTTTATTTCACATTTACTTGGGGATATAATGGCACCAGGATACACTGCAAGAAGATGACAGTCTTTTCAAAGGACTGTGATGCTCTGTGCAATGTTCTGCTGGGAAACCCTGTTTCAATCTCACACATTCAATTTGTCAATTTGACTCATGCCACCTACCTAATCCTCACTGCAGACCAGCTACACCCTTCATGTCAACAGTATCCACATTTCTTTCTTTAGGATAGACCCCTTGAGATGCACCCCCCACTAAACCCAAACTAACAACCCCAATCCTGCTATTTAATCCACGTTTATGGTCTGTGTGGAGAACGTTTGCCAAGTCTTCAAAAAAAAAAAAGGAAGACTAGAAAACCTTCAGGCCTAGATGGCATTTCACCTGCCTGCTTAAAAGGCCGTGCTGGCCAAACTAGCCCATATCTTCATGCTTCAACCAATCTGGAGCAGTGTGAAGTTCCTGGTTCATTCTGATCCCCAAAAAACTTTCTTCTATATTTTTATTGGTGTTGTGTATTTTATTTACATTTTATTGCCTGTTTTCTTTATTACGGTGTTATATTTTATTGCCTTAATTTCTATGTATGTCTGTACTTTGTTCTGCACTAAAAGCTCCTGTCACAAAGATACATTCCTTGTGTGTGTAAAAATATAAGTAAACTCTTTCTGATTCTAAACTAGGCACAGGTGAACATAATGAGTAACTACAGAAACAAATGGGAATCTCTGGAAGCAGAAACTAAAAACATTGACTATAAACTCAAACAATAAATGCCCCCTCACTAGATGCCTCCTGCTGCCGTAAACACCAAATAAATTGTGTGGATTATTGTGATGTTTTTATCAGCTGATTGGACTCTCCCTCTGACGGCACCCATTCACTGCAGAGGATCCATTGCTGAGCAAGTGATGCATGCTACATTTCTCCAAATCTGTTCCAATGAAGAAACAAAGTCAACCACATCTTGGATGGCCTGAGAGTGAAGACATTTTCAGCAAATGTTCATGTTTGGGTGAACCATTCCTTTAAACGTAAAAACTTAATTTGCACCATTAAACCATAATTGCTTATGTGTGATGAATTAAAGGGATAGTTCACCTGGTCCCCATTGACTTCCATAGTATGAAAAAAAAACCTATGCAAGTCAATGGGGACCAACAACTGAAGGTGAACTGTCCCTTTAAGAACAAAACCTACACAGCAAATTAGCCATGTTAAAGTTAACCCACTTTCATGGTACCATGATCTAAAACGTATTTGGGCAGCCAGTTAATTCAGCTTCGTTGTATAGGCTCCAGGTGTCTCAAGGTACAGTAGGATTGCGAAAGGCCTCTTCTCAAATGTATTTTGTTAAGGGCTTTTGCCTGTACTTCCCTGCAAATGCAGCACTGATAAACCAGTGCTAATTACATTAATTTACATGCAATACAATTTAAGTTTAAAATAATTTAAAACTAAATATAGCTACACTAAATAAGAAATATATACCATACTCCTTGTACTTATTTTTGGAACTTATTGTAATTTCATTCAACTTACTGTCATTTCATTCTGTTATGTGTTTATTGCTGTGTTATTGGTGCTTTTATACAGAGCTTTTAATCTATATTTCTAAAATCCAAAATTTATATTTCACCTTTATAATTTGTCTGTTGGGTAAGTTAGTACAAAAAAACTGAATGTGGAAACAATGTTACACAATGTAACAAGTTTATTAAGTTGCAGAGACAACTATTTTATGAAACCATCAAAAATTAGGTTTAAAATCATTAATTAGAATAATATTATCTTAGAATAATGATATAAAAAAAAATTGGAAAAAAAAAATCATAGTATAAAACTGATACATTTCCAACAAATGGGAAATAACTCTCCGACAAAGTGGACCCAAACTCCAGTGCTGCTGAAGTACCCATCACAAATCACTTTAGAGGCGTAAGGGGGGCACTGGCATGGTGACATCACGGAAGAACCGATGAACAAGGGCGTTCTTTGCTGATATCCTCTTGTTAGGATCATAGATCAACATTTGCTGTGGAAAAAAAACAAAAATTAAAAACTAGAAATATTAAAATCAAAATCAATATCGTTTTCGGGTAAAAACTGTGGGGTAGAGATGTACAATTCATGCCATACTATTCATTCATACATACCAATAGTAAAAAAAGTGAAGTGAAGTGACAAGTATGGTGACCAATACTCGGAATTTGTGCTCTGCATTTAGCCAATCCAAGTGCACACACAGTAATGAACACACACCCGGGCAGCAGTTGGGGGTTCGGTGACTTGCTTAAGGGTCTCACCTCAGTCGTGGTATTGAGGATGGAAGAGAGCGTACATTCACTCCCCCCACAACAATTCCTGCCAGACCTGAGACTCGATCCTGCAACCTTAAGGTTACAAGTCCGACTCTCTAACCATTAGGCCACGAATGCCCCCAATACTACTTAAAGGGTTAGTTCACCCAAAAATGAAAATTCTGTCATTAATTACTCACCCTCATGACGTTTCCAACCCGTAAGACTTTCATTCATCTTCGGAAAACAAATTAAGATATTTCTGATGGCATCTGAGAGATGTCTGACCCTGCATAGACAGCAATACAACTGAAATGTTCCCAAGTCCAGAAACGTAGCAAGGAGATCTGTAAAATAATCCATGTGACTTCAGTGGTCCCACCGCAATTATACGAAGCTACGGGAATACTTTTTGTGCGAAAAAGAAAAAAAAAAGAAAAATGCCATACTATTCATTCATACATACCAATAGTAAAAAAAGTGAAGTGAAGTGACAAGTATGGTGACCAATACTCGGAATTTGTGCTCTGCATTTAGCCAATCCAAGTGCACACACAGTAATGAACACACACCCGGGCAGCAGTTGGGGGTTCGGTGACTTGCTTAAGGGTCTCACCTCAGTCGTGGTATTGAGGATGGAAGAGAGCGCTGTACATTCACTCCCCCCACAACAATTCCTGCCAGACCTGAGACTCGATCCTGCAACCTTAAGGTTACAAGTCCGACTCTCTAACCATTAGGCCACGAATGCCCCCAATACTACTTAAAGGGTTAGTTCACCCAAAAATGAAAATTCTGTCATTAATTACTCACCCTCATGACGTTTCCAACCCGTAAGACTTTCATTCATCTTCGGAAAACAAATTAAGATATTTCTGATGGCATCTGAGAGATGTCTGACCCTGCATAGACAGCAATACAACTGAAATGTTCCCAAGTCCAGAAACGTAGCAAGGAGATCTGTAAAATAATCCATGTGACTTCAGTGGTTCCACCGCAATTATACGAAGCTACGAGAATACTTTTTGTGCGCAAAAGAAAAAAAAAAGAAAAGAAGAAAAGACTTTATTCAACAATTCGTCTCCTCCACGTCACCCTGTAGCGCCATTTTGGAGAGTATCAGCTGGACGTAAACAACGTATGCTGTTCTGTGTCAGCTGCACAAAAAGTATTCTCGTAGCTTCGTATAATTACGGTTGAACCCCTGATGTCACATGGATTATTTTACCAATCTCCTTGCTATGTCTCTAGACATTTCAGTTGTATTGCTGTCTATGCAGGGTCAGACAGCTCTCAGATTCCATCAAAAATATCTTAATTTGTGTTCCGAAGATGAACGAGGGTCTTACGGGTTTGGAAACGAGTAATTAATTACAGAATTTTCTGTGACGTCGCATGAAGAAAACACACGCTTCAGAAGAGTTAATGCTAGAGAGAAGACAAGATGTCAGCGGTGGGGGAGTTTTTCATTGTGAAAAAAAAGAGGACACCAGATTTTCAATTTGCAACAGCTGAAATATGAGGTAATGCGAGGGGGCAGTAGAACAAAAAACTTCAATACTACTACTAATCTAATAAGCCATCTGAAGTGTCGCCATCCCGAAATTTATAAAGATTATCAGACAAAAGTCACTGCCAAACAAACAGCGTTACCCATTACCAAAAAAGCCAGTACAACAAACACTTGACAATACGAGGAAATTTGACAAGGACAGTGCCAAAGCAAAAGCCATCACATGCAAAGTTATGGAAATGATTGCAATTGATGACCAACCTTTCAGCGTTGTTTAGGATTTTGGATTTCATCGGCAAATCTAATTTATTGAACTGCGCTACTCCCTTCAAAGCCAGGGGAACTTCACTGACATTTCGCTTTATATGATGTCGAGTTTGTCAGCACAGAAAGCGAGCACTTGGTGCATATGGGGAAGAATACGAGCTTCCCGCATTTTTCAGCGCGTACCAGTGGGGCCTTGTTGAAAATGCAGTAAACATTGCTTGCACCTTTCAAAGAACTTTTCGAAGAACCTTTCGAAGAGAAATAAGTTCACACACGGCAACTGCTTCAGACGTGATTCCCTCTGTTGAGGCTCTGAAACATTTACTGAACAAGAGTCTAAGTACAGATAGCGGGGTGAAGACCACAAAAGCTACTCTGCTGGAGGCTGTGAAGCAGCGGTTTAACGGCACATACACCAAGCCTTTGTACTTCTTGGCAACGATCTTGGACCCAAGGTATAAAGATAGCTTTTTTGATCAAGCAACCAAACAATGAGCAACAGAAATGCTGCTGAGACAACTGAACAAAAGAACAGCACCTGAAAATAGCACGGAGAAAGAGAGAAACGAGACCGAGCCCCCTTTAAAAAAGACATGCACTGAGAGCGACGGAGGCGCAACATCCCTGCTTGACATATACGGTGAAATTCTTGAAAACATAACCAAAGAACACCAGACAACCAACCTCTCCAGTAGGACAGGAGGTAAATTATTTTTTCCCCTCATATATATATATATATATATATATATATATAAAACGGCAATAAAAGAAAGAACATTTTATTTGACATCTGTTATATAGAGCACAAACTAAAACCTGTTTTAATGTTTTAGATTCACCTTAAAAATATGATCAATATGACATGCCATGGTTATACATTACTGTAACATCAAAATAAGTTAAGCAATATTAATTTTTTTATAAGTTAAACAAGATTCAGCTATTTTAATATTTTAAGTCAGTTTTTAAATATAATTTAAGCTGAAAGGAATGCAAGCTGTGAATGCAAGCTGACAGTGCATTAAGGGTAGTATTTTTAGTTTTTTAACAGTGCATACAACATTGTTCAAATTGACATTCTTATGTGTGTTATATTGAAGGAAGGATTGTAATACATTTTGTATTGCTCTTCTTTGTAGGTGAATGCCTATCTAAGTGAGCCGCCCGTTTCCAGGAGTGAGAGCCCACTGCAGTTTTGGAAAAGCAATATGCCCCGTTTTCCAGCCCTGGCACATGCGGCACACAAATATCGGTCAGCTTCCTGTACAAGTGTTGAGAGGGAACGTCTCTTCTCTGCAGCATCAAATGTAATTGATGAAAAGAGAAACAGACTTCTGTGTGAGAAAGCTGAAATGCTTCTCTTCATTAAAAAAATATATATATTCCACTCTTAGATTCACAGATGAAGAAGCCAAACAATCCTGTAACATTTCTAGTTGGTCTTTCTGTTAAATTCACACAAAGTCATGCTGTATCGGAGTAAACATTTTATTTATATGTTGCACATTTTTATTATTTGCTTGGTATTTTGAATATGTTAGTAATGTTGTTTAGTGACTTGGCTGCTTTATTTATGCATGTTTTTTTGTCAGGCAATAGATTTTATTTATATAAAAGAAAGATGGCCATAGAAATGAATTCAGGGTTCGTACACATTTTTCCCAATAAATTTCCATGACTTTTCCATGACTTTTGAGACAATACTCATGACCTAAATGTTCCATTATTTTACAATAAGAATACAAATCTGTTCAAATTATCATAGCATATGTTAACTAAAATTAATGACAACTAGTGCTACTTGTTTGCTTTCTTGTTTTAGTAATAAGCACAAGCTGCAACTGCGCCAGACGTTACTCCACATTTCACATCACTAAATATTATCATTTATTTAACTGTGCGTCCAGGATGGCCATTTTGGCATCATAAAAAATGCCAAAAAGAATAAAGCGTGCTTTAGCTTCTCTGCACAAACGATTGGATACGTGCCTAATAGCACACATTTATCTAGGTTAAACATTTAAACTAACATTGTGATATGAAAAAAATAGGCCTATACATTTTATTTTAGTCAAGTGGTGATGATTTGAGAAGGCTAAATTTATCAAACATAGGCTAAGATTAACTCACTGTCTGCCACTGGCCACATGGTCGTTACTTTAAAAAACAAAAACTTGAACAAAAAATGTTCCAAACATATTTCTAAATTAACGTAATAAAGAAACGAAAATAAATAACCACTTTTCCAATAAAACAAAACAGAAAAAAAGAATAAAGCGTGCTTTAGCTTCTCTGCACAAACGATTGGATACGTGCCTAATAGCACACATTTATCTAGGTTAAACATTTAAACTAACATTGTGATATGCTTTTTAAAAAGTATTTTGTATAGGCCTATACATTTTATTTTAGTCAAGTGGTGATGATTTGAGAAGGCTAAATTTATCAAACATAGGCTAAGATTAACTCACTGTCTGCCACTGGCCACATGGTCGTTACTTTAAAAAACAAAAACTTGAACAAAAAATGTTCCAAACATATTTCTAAATTAACGTAATAAAGAAACGAAAATAAATAACCACTTTTCCAATAAAACAAAACAGAACTATTTTAATGGCCACAACAGCAGAGGAAACAGAAGCTGCATTAGAAGTGTCATTTAGATTAATTAAAACACTGTTTAATGCAGCTCTGAGGGACATTAAATACTTTAACCTGCAGTTACAAATGCATAAATAATGTTTTGATATTTTAAACATAAAACATTGAAAACTGATGTTTGAAATTGTTTAAAAAATGAAAAGGTACCTTAAATGTGAAATTAAAACCGCCAGTAGGCGGCAGTAAGTCACTGTTAATAAGTGAGTCATTGCGTTTGAACCGAATCATTTAAACGGGTGATTCATTCAGGAATAAAACGGCGTCCTGTTGCTCAGAGACGCAAAACAGAGCTGT